CCCTTGATTTTCCAAACTTTTCACATGTTCTGTCAGCGACTCCCTTTTAAATTCCAAGGGAACAGGGATGGTCACTTGAGGTGGCCATTTAGGTTTACTCACTTTGAGTTCTTCCTCAGGGGGAAAGCTTTTCTTAGACATCTCCTGGCAAGGAGGCCAAACGATTTTTAATTTTCCCCTCTCCCCCCATTTTCTCAAATCGTTGTTTTGCCACTTGCTGTTACAAACATCTGCCTGTGTAGTAAGGTCTCCAAACAAGAGGGTATCTGCTCCAGGGTTTTCACACACAGTGGGTTCTTCAGTGGGAATTAAATCAACTAAGCTGCTTTGAGTTTTGCAATTCCATCGATCCTTATGCTGTTTATGTCCAAAACCTTCATCATAATTTCCTTTAGACTTGAAAAGTTGTTTAAAGTGAGGCTTGCAGTATATTTGTCCATGGAGTGATGCATAATTTCCCAAACTGCCAGAAGAAAAGAAATAATATTTAGTGTTCTGTGTACTTATTACAAATCCATAGGGAATTGCAGAAATAGTTTATTAATGAATCAGAAACTCAGTAACCCACTGACTACCAACAGCAGTGGTTGTTAATTGAAGTTCCTGTTAGGCGAATTATCGCCAATACCCACTGCGATTGTGCTTTTCAGTATTTAGAATTTCACTCCTGCATATCACCAGGGATGTAATAGGTGTTCTCAGATGCAGTCCAGGCCATTCAACTGGTGGGCCCAAACCTGTGCCAACTCAATGACTTCTGATACTATAGTCCAGATCCAGAATGACCAGTTCTAAGAAATGTTCTGCCAAAACCACCAAACTTTTAATAAAAAAAAAAAAATACAAAGAAAAAGAACTCTTTGGGTTGTCAGACATGATGGTGTGCATGAAGAACACAGGTTGAATATTACCAACGTATTAGAATTTAGGGAATACTGTCTCCATGAAATCATGCTCTAATGAGTCTCATAGGAAGTAAGCTTGAGTAACCAGAATATCGAAAGAACTGATGTTTTGCTCAGCACTAGGCACTAATGCCACGATACTTGGAGGATGTAAAGAAAGGTTAAGGGGGCAGAGAGAGAAGAATGTGCAATGAGATGTCTAAAGGATCTGGCATGGATGACACAGTAACTGTTTTACAGAATGTAGAGTGGGTAAGAGAAGTCAAATATAAATTTTATAAAATTTTGGTTCATGGATTGGTACTATCAGTGGATTTATTATTAATTGACTTTAAACTTTTAAAAACTGTGTATTTTGCCTGTTGTATGTATGTTCACTCCTTGAGTGCCTGGTGCAAGAGGAGGCCAGAAGAAGGTGTCACTTCTACTGACATTGGCCTTAAGGGCAGTTGTGAGCAGTCATGTGTTTGCCGGTCTCATGTCTCCTAGGCTGGCTATGAACTCACTATGTAGCTGTGGAAGACTCTGAACCTAGTGTTGGGATCACAGGCTTGCACTACTGTCCGTGTTAGATGAAGTCCTCCATTTCAAACCCAGGGCCTTGTGTGTGTTTCACAAATGCTCTATCACCTCAGCTATACCCCCAGCTCTAATCCAAGGCTATTACTAAGATGAATATAAGATATTCTAAATCTGTTATAATTATTCATAGTACTTGCTATTGTGTCTAGACTCATACACATGTTAGACAAATGCTCTGACATTAAGCGGTATCCCAACCACACTTTTCACATTTTTTTTTTTTTTTTTTTTTTTTTTTTTTTTGGTTTTTCGAGACAGGGTTTCTCTGTGTAGCTTTGTGCCTCTCCTAGAACTCACTTGGTAGCCCAGGCTGGCCTCGAACTCACAGAGATCCTCCTGGCTCTGCCTCCCGAGTGCTGGGATTAAAGGCGTGCGCCACCACCGCCCGGCATTCACATTTTATTTTCAGATAGGGTGTCATTAGTTTCCTCGAAGATATCTTGAGGTTATTGTAATGTCTCAGCCTCAAAGTAGCTTGGAACACAGGTCTGTACCACCAAACCTGGCTCCATCTTTATGTTTGAAGGATGGAGGAAAAGACCTACAGACACAGAAGGGAAGCAGCAATGCAGATAAGTTTTGAATTTGATTAGAAATATCATTGAATTTATAGTGTACAATATATGTAAATATTTATTAGTTCTCCCCGCCAAAATGGCTTGGGAAAAAAAGAAAACTGAAAAAGTAGAATGGGCACTGAGAGTGTTGACTTGAAGTAGTACATGTCATTAGAATAAAGAAGCCTTACAGAAATGATGGAATCAGGACTTGCACAGGGAAAGTGAAGAGAGCATGCATCTATCACACAATGAGAAAGTCCCTAATGTTTACTTAGGTCATGGAAAAAGTACCCAGCAGACAATGGAAAGAGAGGAGATTCCTCTCACCAAGGGAAGGAGAGATGAGCACCAGTCAATGCAATTTATTGAAGCCTATCAACCATTCCTGATAAGTAAGTTTATGAGGACCACATTCTTTCCCCTAAAAAGTGATCACATGGCCAGAAATAGTGTACACCTGCAGGTCTAATCCAAAATCTAGTCCTATCTGACAGTTTGGAAGTATCTAGGACAAAGAGAAGGCTGAACTACTTGGTGTGTGTGCAATCAACAACTTGAGACTGAAACATTCTGCTGGCCAAATATCCTGTGCTCTTAACAAATAAATGGTGAAACAGGAAGGGAATGCAGGGGAAGTTTACAGATTAAAAAAGAATTTACAAGACACAACAAAACATAAAAGTAAGATACAGCACTATAAAAGTATACAAGGGCAGCAACAATTAAATGAAAGGACATGCTCATTAATATGGATAGTTTCAGTTATGGCAATGAGTGGAGGTTGTTTGTAAAAACAAAATACGTGAAAAGGGTCTTCCAACATGGCTAGCAAAGTTCTATTTCTTTATCTTGGTTATTGGTTACCAAGTGTTCATGCTGAAATGGTTTATTGTGTCATGCATTTGGCTTGTTTGACTTTCTTTGTATGTTTGGTTCCTCACTTAAAAGTATCAGTCTTTGATTTTGTAATTTTGACTCTTCATTATATGTCAGCCTTTACTAGATGTTGTGAAAGCAAACATTACCACAATTAATGTCAATGATAATTATATTATGTCAAGTTGACAGTGGGGGGAAAGTGCAGGGGAAGCTTTGAGGAATAATTGGGAAGGATGCCTGTCCTGTCCATGGAAGTAAAAAAAAAAAAAAGCTTCCTGGATGGGATAGCCTTAGTTGTGTTCTGAAGGACAAATGGACATTAAACTAATAGAGATCCAGAAGATGGATAATAAAAACTCCTAGAAGAGTAGAGATGGCATCTGGCACTAGCTAGAAGTATGAGAGAAAAATATTTATTGGAACTAGAAGGAGGTAATTCTGCATGGAGAGTAACATGTAACTGGGATGGATTAGGGATGCTTGAAGAATTGCAGAGAAACAAGGGCTAGATTTGAACTGTAGGTTAATTAATGTTTTAATGTTAAATATTTTTTAATGGACAGGGGAAGCTAGTCTGAATTTTATACAGAGAAGTTACGCCAAGTTTGTGTTTCAGAAGGATCATTTTACTACATTATAGAATATAGTCTTAGGACGGATTGTTGATAATGGTGCTGGTAAGAGATATGCACACAGGGAGACTGCACTGCTAGCTATAATGGGTGTGGCATTTGCCCAAGTGAGAAACAATACTTGCTCGAAGGATAGCTGGGCTATGGGGATGGTGAAGTGAGCACAACTTAAGAGGGAATTATGAATTCTGTAATTGAAGAAATGGGTGATGGCTGGAATGAATAGAAAGGATGAGTGAAAGATAATTTCATGAAGAGGCCAGAGTTAATGTCACTTTCTGTTACAGAGGGATAGAAACTACACTCAGAGAATGAAGGCAACAGTGAGAAGAACTGTTATTGTCTGTCTTACAGAGTTCTCTGTCATTGGTAGTAAGCATTTAATGGGCAAAGGTGCAATCTGGCCCAGCCATGCACATTTCAGAGTCATTCCTCACATGGAAGTTACAGGATGGTGTGTGATTCACCAGAAGAAAAAAAAGATACAATGAGAAGACTAGATTCAAATGGCCAGCTTCTGAAGAGCTCTAACATCTCTCTCATTGTTTGTCAGAAGAAAAGTTACTTGCACAGGTGCCTGAGAAGGAGCACCTCCAAAATAGAGGGGAATCATTATGTTATATTGTCATGGAAACCAAGGAAAAATAATGTAGCAATGAGGAATATTTGACACTGCCAATTAAAATCAGGAAAGTGATAGTCTGAGAGGTGCACATTAGATTCAGCAAAATAAATTCTATTTCAGCATTTCAAACTATAGCCTTACCAAATGTCACGTTCATTTAAATGCATCTATTTTGAGAGGCGTGGAAAAGGAAAGCTCATGCCACTGTGTTGATTAGCATGCTGCCTTTGCTTCAGAAATAAACAGCTTTTCCCTGACCTGTCACTAATAGTATTCCCAATTCCATTTCCTAACTTCTATACTATAGCTCAAACAGACAAGCTCTGTACCATCACCTGCTGTGGGATACAACGTTTCCCTGGAACATAACCAAGCTTATTCGTTTACAGCCACACCCACCTGTTCTCTCCAGCCAGCTTTTCTTGGACTCCAAGGAAACCTGAGTCCTGATAGGAACAGAACAGACTGCCAAATAATAATATTCACTATCTGCCCTTTATGGAAAGAGTTTACCAGCTTCTAGTCTAGAGCTAATATATTCAACCAACAGCACTAACTTTAAAATCCTAACTTGCACAGTAACTCGGGAGGCTTTCTTACCCACATGATTTTCACAACTAGAAAGGCAGCTTGGGAAAGGGACGTGTTGAGGGTCAACCTGAACAATGCGCAATAGATCAGGGCAGCATCCCACTGTGTGACTGTGGCCAGTGAGGGCAGCTGTGGGATCTGGAGAACTCTAGAGACTAGATATTATACATATGCTCCAAGGTTCTTCAATCTATGTGGCACAGCATGACATTTTACCTCAGTTTACTGCTGCAGTGATGGCATCTGAAACAAGACTTATGAAAATTCTGCTTGTCTGCTACGAGGCGCTCCATTGGATAAACTGTCTTTTGACAAATTATGCAGGTTTCCTTGTCTTGGACCAGCAGTTTCTAAAAATAAAAATTTATAAAGGCTTATATGTTTCTATTTTCCATCACAATTGAAATAGCATCAGAAAACAAATAATATGGTAACTGGACATGCAGAAAAAGCGAAAATGCCCCAATAATTGTTTTTATGTCTCTTTCTCTAGACAGTGTACACTAGCATGGAATTTGAGGATCTGGTACAAAGATTTAATGCCTCTACCATGATACCTTATGGAAGCTGAATTATTATATAATAAACACATAAATGTGTATTATGCTCACTTACATTAATCCATTAAATATATACAGTAAACTCAGTCATGGGGAACCTTAAGCAAATGTATCATTTGAAGCAACTAAGCTTTCCATAAATATAAAGTTTTATATAAAATTTTAATTTCTAAAACCATATGGATAAATCATTCTAAAGTGCACACAGATTTTTATTAGCCAAGACATTGTATAGTATTTGATTAAATATTATCTTAATAATATCAAGTTTACTTCATGATCTATATCAGGTTTACTTATAACATGATACTGCTAACTTCCTTGTAATAGTATTCTCCCATCCATGAAATGTGCAGGGAGGGACCCTTACTCTGTACCCAACCAACTTCAGATTTTACAGCCTTTTGGATCCTTACATCTATTCTTTCTGTTTGTCACTGCTTCTCTTACTCAGCACCTACAGTTTCTTCCCATTACTCTCCTGTGGAGAGCAGTCTTTATAAATAACAGTTGTTACGTCACTAACCAGGGTTCCTAGTGGCTTACACTGAACACAGAAACATCAATTAAACATTCTCAAAAGAATAACTAAGCTTTTAAATTTGTCACCTATGAAAGCAGGTATGTCAAGGTCCTTCATGTGAAAATCACTTTAGTGCTTACACTCTGCCTCTCCATGATTGAGAGGACTCCTTTGCTTTTTTGATTCCAGTACGGACATATTTCTATATTTAACACCAGCTTCTTTGTGTTTTCTATGGTTTTGAACTGTCTTAACAAAAACTGAGCATTTGAAATTAGTTAGACAGCTTTGCTTAATTATGCCAGAGGCAAGCACATTAAGAAACCATATTAACTTGATAAACTAGACACATATGTTATAAATATGAAAGGCATAATTATTAATTTCAGTGGCTTTTATTTTTAAGTTTGCTATTTCTTTCAATCTGTCTAAAAGAATGGACTATATTAATGATGCCTATTAATTATGTCCAATCCTTTTATCATGAAGCCTCATTAATTGTAGAAAGTGTGGAAAATAAAATGGAGTAAGCTGTATTCTGATGTTAAAAATATCATGTACTATGTTCTCATGATCTAAACCTCTCATCATACGAACATAATCAAGTTTTAATATGTATTGTTTATCCTCATCTATGAATGAGATCAACTGAATTGTGATTTGAGGGTTAATGTTCATAAAGATGAGAATATCAGTTATAGAAAACATTGATATCAGGGGATGTTATCACTTCAATTCAATTACAATAGCTAAATACATAAAATGTCTAAAGTTGTATATATACCTTTAACACATTGATGAAAATATAGCATCTGTGACTTCTGTCTGAGGCTATCACTAAGGTGTATTGAATTCACGGTAGAGGCTACTTAAGTATGCAGTTAAAATTAGTCAATACCAGGCCAAAGATTTTGATCTGATATCACCATAAACTATTGAATGAAGCAAATTTTATTATAAAATTTTAATAATGAGTTTGTTCTATAGCAAGCAAAGAGTTCCACCACTACTAAAACCACTATAGTTGTTATGTCTGATGCTTTCTTCAAACTCCTATTTACCTTGAGTTTGAAGAACAGGTTTCGGTCATGCATACTGCAGATCAATCATATTAAATGTTATTGTTAATAAAGAAAGTAACGAGGCCGGGCGGTGGTGGCACACGCCTTTAATCCCAGCACTCGGGAGGCAGAGCCAGGCGGATCTCTGTGGGTTCGAGGCCAGCCTGGGATACCAAGTGAGTTCCAGGAAAGGCGCAAAGCTACACAGAGAAACCCTGTCTCGAAAAAACCAAAAAAAAAAAAAAAAAAAAAAAAAAAAAGAAAGTAACGAAAGCAGGGACAGCAAAGAATCACAAGCCTCCGGGGGTAGCTGTTAGTCCTAGATTGTTAGTGGGTTATTGCCATACACGGTTTTAACTGCAAATCATTTCGCTTTGGCACACATGCTTTCAGATGGGTTAATCTTCTTTCACACTCTCCAATCTCATTTACCACTTATAAAGGCAGATTCCTCCAGGAAGGCCCTGCTCATTTCAGGTGCTTGTGCAGCTGCAGTTTCATATCCCAAGCGCTGAAAAACCCTCTCGCTCTCTTGCCATGTCTTCTGAAAATCTCTTCTGAGATTTGTAGGTGAATCTGAAAGATCTAGGATATGGCCAGCGATCACATCTTCATAGGTTGGTGGGGCATGCTTGAAGTCGAAGCCAGACCTGCCAGCTTCTGAGCTACGTGAGGATGAGGTTGCCACCTTTGACCCAACAATCTGATGGTTAAATGCATCCAAACCTAAGAAATGCTCACTCAGAGACCTTCCTTCAGAGTGAACCCTGGGCTGCATAGCTGCAGCTTCTTCTTGGCGCTCTCTAGGATGTCTGTATGAAAAGCCTGTAAAATTAGCATTTCCAGAAGATGCTAATCCAAATTCCTCCTTACGAAATGTGTGACTCTCTTGTTTCATGTTGTGGTTTATTTCACCATTTGCATAAGCTCTTCTCTCTGTCTTCGCTCCGAAAACTGGGCCATTCTCAAATTCCCTAAACCATCTGTTTATTTCGTTTTCATGGCCATTCAGAAAATGTTCAGCCATCTGAACTGTTTGATTGGCGGCTTCAAATCTCTCTGTGCGTTCTGATAGGCGAGGCCCTCCCACCTGGCGGATGATCTCAACTGCGTCATAGCTTTCCATCGCTGGCATTGTGTTGTTGATCGAATTCATTTTATCTTTATGAATGTAAGTCTCCTTTTGCTCTATCTTCCTCATTGCCTCTTGAGCTTCCACAGAGTCTCTGAAGGAACCACTAACGACATGGTTTACACTAACAGGTATTGTAATGGTGGGTGGAGAGTCCCTGGCATGACTTTCTATCTTAATTTGCCTGCGGAGTGTGGCTGGAGACATGACAACTTCAGATCTCTTCTCCACAATTGGAACTGGGGTCCCTGGTGAACATGGAACGGTACCTCTGGCTAATCTGGCCGTGGTGTCTTTGAGTTTAACCAGTTGTTCTGAGCGACTCCTTGGTGGGGATGGGGAGGTACATGTTCTGTGAAGTCTAGATGTTTGCTCTGTGGGTCTTCGGGGTGGAGGTTCAGTACAACTGTTCTTTTTAGGGGACTGCGAAAGCTCACTCTTAGTGGAGGCTTCTGCTCGTCGGGCAGTGGACTCTATTGTAATGAAAGTTGGTGATGGCGGGCGAGTTTTCAAAGAGGGAGGAGCAATCTTATTATCTCCTCCCTTAGTCTCCTGATGTGTGCTAGCAGGATTATGAGTCGTTGCTACTTGGTGGTGTGAAGATAGTTTTTCTTCTACAATTTTATTTTCTTTCTGTTCAGTGCATTTATTAGAGCTGGCATTAACATTAGACACTTTCAATGACATTTCATTAAGATGGGTAGGCTTATCTCTCTGCTTTCCTGTTTGCGAGGCCATCATGGCTGTTTGAATTATATGTTCACAGTGCACAAGCATATCCTCTGCTTGAGTTTTAATATGTGCTATTTCTTCTTTGACTTTTTCTAAATTATTCTCCATGGCAACACGAACTCCATATTCTCTTTTTTCTTCACTTATCAGCCATACTGGAACAATATTTAACAGTGTCTGAAATGTTTTAAGGCCACTTTTATTTGACTCTGCTTCAAACTGTTTTACTCTAGACAAAATCTGCTGTAGTTCTTCACGTTTTCTCAAGAATTCCAATATATTTATGCCACATTTTCCATCATCGTGCTGGGATCCTTTCACAGAGGAAAATGGAGATTTGTTCTGTGTAATCTCTTGTTTCGAATCTTCAGTGTTAGGAGAGACATGTCTCTGTTGCATGCCGTTGGCTCTAAGACATTTTTTCTCTGGCATGTCATTAGGTGACTGGGGCAATGTTTTATGCTCAACTGTACTTCCAGAAGCTTGTATTTGTGTTTGCTGAAAATTCTGAGTCTGTGAGTCCAGACATACATCTATAATCTTTTGCTGGACTAACCTTGGTACTCGCTGGTCCTGCAGATCTTCTTGTTTTCTTTCAACTATTAATCTGTCTTCTTTTGACCTGCTCATTGATAAGTCCTGATTCCTTTCTTCACTCCCTAGGATATTCCCTCTGTCAAACTCCCCAAATCCCCTCTGTCTCTTGGGAACTGTTTTGAGCTTACTCTCTTGATTTTTCTCTGAGTAGTCTTCAGGCATTTGCACTGTCACCCTTTTCTCTGTTTTAGGTAATTGAGAAGATTTTTCAGGCACAGGTTGCTTATTATCACATTGTGCCCTTGCTTGGGTTTTCTTGATTTCCTGATTCATTGGTTTAGCAATGGTTTGGATGTCAACTTCAGATTGCTTTATGTGACTTTCAGAACTGAGATCTGTTTCAGTCGATGTATGATCTAGAGTTGGAAGCTTGATAGTTTTCACTTTGAAACTTGGGAAAATTGGTTTGCTTTGGGGAAAGGGCAAGTACTCCATATGTTGCTCAAGTGTTTGTTGTGTCTTACTTTCATTGTGACTCTGGCTAATTTCACAAGCTGATTTCGATTGCAGCATGTCCTTCGAGCTTTGTATGCCTTCCTTTCTAATGGTACACTTATCTTCTGAAGCTGCTAGAACATGCTGGAGCCTCTCAGTAGCAACCATCAATGCAGAAGCTGTGGAGAGCTGACTGTCAGAACTCATGCCTGCAAGCACAGCCCTGTTCTTAGAGTCCAGGTTGGATTGTGCCCTAGTCAAATCCAAATCCTTTCTGGGTATGGGGACTGCCTCAGCTGCTTTGTGTGATGCTAATTCTTTCTCTCTCTCTGATATGTTTTGGTGGTAGGTTTCTGTTTGGACAATGCTGTGGCAAGGATTCTCCTGTCTCTGTTTTTCAATCTCTTCCTTTTGCCGTCTGTATTTTTCTTCAGCTATCATTAAAGGCGTCTTAAATTTTCTCACATAAGGCTTTGGACTTTGTTGTTCTGAACCTGATGGAAATGAGTGGGATTTAACAAGGGGCACTGTCTGTTTTCCCTTGAGTGCTGGGATTTCTGGAGCTGTCTGAGAGAGAGAGTTTGCAGAGTGGATGGACAGCTGTTTTCTTTCATCAAGACCTTTTCTTGATACTTCCTGCTGTGTCTCTGTGTGCTCACTGCCCATTGCCACCATTGATCTTTTCTGATTCTTTGACAGAGTAGTTTTAATTTCCATATCTGACAGAGATCTTCCCAATTCATCATTTGGGGACTGCTGGCTCATTTTATTTTTAATTCTCTTGGGAAGTTTGGGTTTGGGGAGTGTAGGAGGTGGTGATTTCCCTGTTAGGGTGTTAGCCTGAGAATGAATTTGCTGAGAGCCTGAGGCTTCTCTTTGGGAATACTGCTGTGTGAATGCTTCACTTTGATTTTCTAGGACAGAGGAGGCAAGAAGATGTGCTGCTTGTGATGGCTTTGGAGGAGGTGGTAGGGATGCTGACAAACATTCTCTTTCAGATTTCTCATCTACTGGTGGTGGAGGAAGAGGGAGACTTGGGAAGCTTTCAAATTCAGTCTTTGTCTTCCCTGTGGATGATGAGGGAGGAAACTCATCTTTTTCAGGCAACAGCATTAAAGGTGGTGGAGGGGGGAGAGGAAATTCAGTTTCAGATGATGCATTGGAAGGTGGAGGAGGAGGGGGAGATGGAGGTGGAAGGGAGTCCTCATTTTCTTTTATATTATACTCGGGGTGAAGGTTGATTGGATTAAAGGACCTCTCCATTGCCATTTTCAACTCTTTGGAAGTATTTGTCTTCATTAGAAAGTCCTGGCTTTCTAGACAAACATCAATTTTCTGTTCTTTGTCAGTTGCCTGAAATTTTTTGTGGCTTTTCCCAGAGACTCTTACTCCTGTTACATTGTGTACATCCTTATCTGCAGGCAAAGGTTGAAGGCACGTGTCATTTTTCTTTGTATCTTTATGAGAATACCGTGTTTCCTGGCTTAGGAAGGTTTGCTTCTGAAAGTCCCTTGTCATCCCATGCATTTCTCCAGCTGTCTTGTTGATAAGATGTTGGGTGGGATTTGGTGTATAACTTTGTACCACTGATGATATATTCATGTTTTTGGTATTATTTTGCCTCTTCCTATAGGAATCCTGGAACTGAGACTTCTGGTGGTCATTCCCTAGTTCACAAGTTTGAGTCTGCTGCTTTCTAAACGTTTTATCCACAGACTGGGTGAAGTTAAAGATATCATCCTTCGAATCTATCACATCCTCTGATTCCTTGGTTTTTAGGTTTTCCTTCATTGACGTGGTTGCAGTTACCTGTTTGCCCATATCCTTGCCACCACACAGATACTCTTTGCTCTCAGTCCAGATGCCAATTCTGTCACCCATGTCTAAGACACTTTTCATAGCTCTGTGTTCTGAGTTAGACATCCTCCTAAGGCTTTTCTCAAGAGCATCATTGTTTTGTTCACGATCAATGACAATTTTTACAGTGCCCTTAGGGGCTCTGGGAAGATTAGCCTCAGATCTTTCTTCTATTAAAGACCGGTGGTAGGATTTCTGGGTAGTTTCATTGAGAGTGCCTGGTCCTGCTTGCTGCCTGGTTACTGGCTCAAAGGGTCCTGGCATTGGTTGAAGAAGACTTTTTTTGTCTCTCTGGACAGCTGCTGGATTAATCCCTGTTTTTTGTCTTTCTGAGAATCCTGCTGTCCCAGGCAGTGCATCTTCTTTGTTTATGCCTGCCTTATCAACTTCTTTGAAACCCCATTGTGCTTCTTTCAAAGACCTTAACGATGTTTCAAGATCATCTAGTATCAACTCTTTTTTCAGTATTTCAGTCCTTGTATTTGTAGCCTTCTCCAGGCACTCAATAGCTTGCTCAATATCACTAGGGATGCTACCAGATTGTTTAGATTCCTTCTGTCTGTCACTTGACTCCAGTGTGTCCAGCCTGTCACCTTTTATAATTTCTTCTGTTTCAGCCATTATTTTCTGATTCATGGCCTGGTTGAGAGAATTTAGGGTTGATTTCAAATCACCTTTTATAATCTCTTCTTTCTGTGTCTTATTAGATGAACTCTGAGGCCCTGTCATTAAGACTTTAATTGTATTATGCACATCTCCTGAGATTATGTCAGTTTCATTAACAGTACGTTCAAACAGAGACTGCCTTTTCTTTAGTAACAGTTTTGTGCCCTCAACATCACCGCCAATTATTTCTTCCCCTCCCTCTTGTTTCCTATCTGTGAGAGTTTCATTTGTCCCTGTTTGGAGTTGTTTGAGGTAATCCAAAGCTCCAGTTTCTATGCATGTTGTGAAGAACTGAACGTTTCCCCTCTCTGAGGCATCAATTTTTGTCCTTTCAGGTATTTTAGCATTTGATGTAGAAGATAACAGGTCGTGAATGGTACGTCTTACATCACCTCCTATTATGTCTTCACGCTCAATCTTGTCACCAGCATTTTCGTGCAGAAGACAATAGATAGTCATGTTAATATCTCCTTTTTCATCTTCTTGAATTAATATTCCTTTCTTTGCACATCTTTCCTCTGAGAACAGATTTGTTATTGCTTGTTTTACATCCCCTCTCACTATCTCTTCCTTTTCAGCATGAAATTCAGTTGATCTGTTTAATAATTGAGTTTTAGTCAAATTGACATTTCCCTTCTCCTCTTCGCTGACAAATATCTCTTTCTTTGTACAGTCTCTTTGGGAAAGTAAATTCATCATTATGCTTTTGAGATCAGCTCTGATAACATCTTCCTTCTGTATCTCTGGAGTTGTTTGGTTCATGAGCTTGTATTTTGCCATTCGGACATCCCCAACTTCATCAGCTTCGATGATAATTCCAGGAGCTTCAATAACTCTTTGAGAGTAGAGGCTTTCCAGTGTTTCTTTGATGCTTTTGCCAATAATTTCTACCTTCTCTACTTTGGTTTCATTAAATTCATGAATAGGTGTTGTTTCAAACAGCCATGTCGTTGTTTTGACATTCGATGGAGGAATTTCTTCTTTGGTCATTTTTGCAGCACTTTCATCTACTTCCTTGATAGAATCCAATGTTTGATTTTCAAAAAGCCACACTGCATTCTTAACGTCACCTTTCTGCACCTCTTCCTGGGTGACAGTCTTGATATTTTCATATCCAGATCCTTCTCCCAGCTCATCTATGCTATGAGTTTCAAAGAGCCAAGTAGAAGTCTTAACATTGCCCTTTTGTATTTCATTGACACTTACTGTTCTGATATAATTCTTCTTGTCACCATTTTCAGTCTCAAAGAATTGTTTACCCATCTTCACATTGCCTCCTTGAATATAGTCAACAGTGTGCACAATATTATGGGATTCATCTGAAATCTGATCCAGTGGCTGAGTTTCAAATCTGTACCTGACAGAACTCACATCCCCCTTCTGAATGTCTTCCTGGGTGACAGCTTTAATGACATATACATCTTCTGATTCGTTAATGGAGTCTAATGGTTTGGTTTCAAAGAGCCACCTTGTTCCCCGTACATCTCCATGAATTACTTCTTCTTTTTTAACTGTTGTCACTTCATGATAAAACCCTTCTTGATCTCGAATTGCATAGAGTGGCTGTGTTTCAAAGAGCATTTTGTAGCTTTTTACGTCACCTTTTATTACTTCTTCAGTGTTTGTTTCCCTGGTGCTGATGCCATCAGATTCTTCTTTAATCTCATCCAAAGAAAATGTCTCAAAAACGAAGCAGCCCTTTCTCACATTTCCACCTTGTATGTCTGTCACTGTCTTAACCAATCCATCACCTTCTTGATTTTCTTTTATCCTATCAATGGGTTTGTTTTCAAATAGCCACCTACAATGTAACACATTACCGTTCTGAATGTCTTCGGTTTTTAGGGTTTTGATCTTATTCAAAACATCTTCTGAACTGCAACTGATTGAATCTAAGGGCTGATTTTCGAACTTATACTTCATGCCAGAGACATCTCCAGCTTGTATATCCATCTCCACAGGCTTGGTTTCCTTCCCTTCATTCCCTTGTATGTTGTCCAGATTTTCTGTCTCAAAGAGAAAACATGCTTTCCGAACATCCCCACCTTGGATCTCCTCCTGCTTTACAGTTTGAAGTTTGACTGTTGCTTCAGAGTCATCTTTTATAGTATCAAGTGGCTGAGTTTCAAAAAGCCAGGTACAGCCTCGGACATCACCTTTGTGGATATCTTCAGTGTTTGTCATCAAGGAAACCTTTTCATAAAGAGACTCCATTGGCTGGGTCTCAAATAGCCATTTACAGGTTTTGACATCCCCTTTAACAATATCTGTAGTTTGTTCAGTTTTGCTTTCTGTTTCTTCCTCATTGCTAAAATATTTAATTGAATCAAGGGGCTGAGTTTCAAACAACCATCTAGCAGATTTCACACTCCCTGCTTGTATTTCTTCAGCAGATATTCCTCTAATTATCTGAAATTTACAAAGGCTTTCATCAAATTGGTCAATGGGCCTTGTTTCAAAAAGCCACCTATAGCTTCTTACATCTCCTGTTAGGATTTCCTCTTGCTGGACTGTCTTCACTTGGTGGTACTTTCCAAGGTGGTCTTGAATAGCATACAGTGGGATTGTCTCAAAGAGAGATTTATTCAACTCCACAGTGCCTCTGGTGACTCCTTCCACCTCAATTTGATGTGCTGCATCAACCTTAATTAAATTATTGGCTTCGAAGATATGTGTATAGTTCTTTACATTACCTCTATCAACTGCTTCCAGCCTCACTGTTTTTATATACTCTTTCTTATCTTCTCTAATGTCTTCTAAAGGTTGAGTTTCAAAGACCCACTTCTGGTGCTTCACGTCTCCCTTTTCTTCTTCAGAGGCAGTGATTTTTTGAAGCTTTCCAACATCAGGACTGTCTTTTAGAGCCTCTATTGGAAGTGTTTCAAATAGATGTTTGGTGGTTTTTACGTCACCTCCTATTCTCTCTTCAGCTGATACAGTATCTGCATCAGGAACTTCTTTTAGACTGTCTAATGGCTGTGTTTCAAACATCCAACACTTCTTAGAAACATCTGTACCTATGATTGCTTCTTTTTGAAGGACAGCCTCTTCTGAATCTTCTTTGATTTTCTCCAGGGGTTGAGTCTCGAATAACCACTTTGCTTTACTCACCCCACCTTTGACATTTTCTTCCATGGATATTCCTCGAACAACTTTAATTTCTGTGATATCTTTGTTAATTGTGTCCAAAGGCTGCGTTTCAAACATCCAACGTGCTGTTCTCACATCCCCCCTTTCGATGTCTTCTTTCTGTACGGTTTTGATTTCTAGCATTTGGCCTGAACCATCTCTGATGACATACAATGGTTGCGTTTCAAAGCACTTTATGCTTCTCTTAACATTTCCTTTAATTTCTTTGAGTTCAGATCTGAGTTGTAATAAGTGAACCTCATCCACGGAGTGAAGCTGTCCGAGTTGATCTAGGTGTTGAGTCTCGAACATGTATCTTACTGTCTTGACGTCTCCCCCAGTTATGTCATTTATAGCAGTAGATGCTGTTTCTTCTTGGCTTTGGTGCATTTTGTTCATGGAGTCTAAAGGCCTTGTTTCGAACATCCACCTTGCTGTGCAAACATCTCCTCTAGCTAGCTCAGGAATCTTCCCTGTGTTTCCTTCAGTGCCAGCAGAAGGGACCCCCAGTGCATCTATTGGCTGAGTTTCAAACATCCAAGTAGTATACTTCACATCACCCCCAGCAATGAGTTCTTGGTCAGCAACAGTCTTGGGAGAGTACTCTTCATCTGCAGAACCATTGTTGATAGAATCTAATGGTTGATTCTCGAAAATCCATCTCATTGACTGCACCTCTCCTTTCAGAATTTCATCCCATTCCAGGTTTTCTCTTTCTGAGTTTAGATCCTTTTGAGAACTGTCATTTGTGTTTTCAAAAATATACCGAGCTTGTTGTACATCTGCTGAACCTGAGTTTCCTGAGTTTATCTGGCTAGAAACAATTTCAGAAACCTCACTGATGTAGTCTTTCTCTAAGTTTTTTCTTAACTCGGGATGAATATGTCTATATAAACGGTTTAATTCATACAAATTTCTTTGTTTAGAATATAAATCTTTGGGGATTGGTAGTCCTCTAGGAGGGTTGGGGAATTCAGGGGACTGGGAAAATGCTGTCACATCCATTGGTGTTTGAAGCACATCAGGTGGGGGAGGAGGAAATTCTTCCACCTTCCCTGAAGGAGTGCCATTAACTTGTGCCAGGGATGCTGAAGTGACACTGTGATTACTGTAACTTGAGGTTGACGTTTCCTTCCTCTGACTGGTTGAAGTGTAAGAACAAGAGGTACCCACAGCTGATGATGGCTTTAAGGGTTCTTCACTGTCATTTTTAATCTTTAAGGGAAAGAAAACCAAAGCTTATAATGATGATTGTAGTGTGGAGATTTCCTGGGCCCTACCTTTCCTCTGTCCACAACCAGGATTCTGCTGTGATGCCTTCCTTGGAAAACAGGTATGCACTGTGTTTAAACCTACTTGGGAGAATACTCAGTATGTGTTAATAAATATTAATCTATTTTAATAATAATTTTCTTCCATAAATGACTCAGTATTTGAGCATTTACACATATTTACACGTACCTTTTTTTTTGAGATAGTGTCTCTTTTCATAGTCCTGGTGAGCCTGGAATTCACAGAGATCTACCTGTCTCTGCCTCTTGACCTCTGAGATTAAGAGCATATACCACTACGCCTGGTTTAACATTTATACATACTCTTAATTTGCCCCTTTTTACTTGATGTGTAGAGTAATCTATGGGGGGAAAGGGTCTTGAAGTACTTTTGTGGGTTTTTTGTTTTCTATGTCATTTAAAATAAAACAGGCAACCATCTGTCATTTAAAATTGACTTAGTTACTTTATTCGATATTAGTTATAGACTTTAAAGTATATATAACTTTCTTCATTCGTATTCTCCAGTGGGTGGGAGAACTTACTCTATCTCACAGATCAATACCCTCCTTTTGAAACAGAATAAATGCTAGTTCAAAATTTTTTGTTAAGAAAATTTAAGTATGATTTTAACACTTAATACATTCCTGTATAGAGAAATTATCATACCTTTATACACCTGGATGGAGTTGTTTCTTTGTCAGAGTAGAGAAACTTTTCCTGGGCAGATTTTTCAAATTGCTCTTTTAAAATCTTAGTGGAAACCTTAGGAATCTCTTCTTCTTCAGGTGTATCAATGACTACAAAGATAAATAGATACCAGGGATACTTTACAATGAATAAAATGGTATTTGAGAAAAAATTGCTATGCAGCATTAAACTACTTATAATGTAAATTAGTGAATAAGACTCAAAGGACAAATTTATGCACATGACATTATTTCATCTAGTGATTTAGAACTGAAGCAAGAAATATTAAGGAAGAAGCAGAAAAGAGATTTTTGGTGGTGGAGCAGGAGAGATGGTGTGGTTGGGAGACCTCTTGCAGGGGAACAAAGTTAAGTTCCCAGGATCATGTTGGGCAAATCACAACATCACAACAGCTTGGAAATCCAACTGTAGTGGATCTGATGCCCTCTTATTGCCTCTGGGTGTTCTCTCTCTCTCTCTCTCTCTCTCTCTCTCTCTCTCTCTCTCTCTCTCTCTCTCTCCCACACATACACATACACAGTATACATAAATACAAATAAACCTTAAAAGAATTTGGAGTGGTTATCTCTGGACAGAAATATTTTCAGAATTTCTGCAACTGTGTTCTAATTCTACACTCAGGAAAAATAATGCATCTCAAAGAACAAAAGACAGTGTTATGGAGGCCACTTTTCTTGTTAGTTGGTTTGGATATTTGGAGAAAAGTTCTTGCTCTATAGTTGAACCTGCATCAGTCTTCCAGTTGGAGCCTCCTAAATGCCAGGATTACAAACAGGAGTCACTGAGCCCAGCAAGAAGAACGCTGCATTTCTTACACAGCAAGATTCAAATACTGTTTAGGCCACAGCAGGGGTGAAATCTTTCCTTTCATCTAATCAGAGAAGCAAGCCTTTCCCCCTTGTACAAGTAGAAGCTGCACCTTGTCTTCTGCAAGCATCTAGAAACTTCCATACAATCTAACCTCCTATCTATTGGTTGAGAATTGAACATATTATTTCCTAAATTTGTTATTAATATTAGTATAATATAGGTAATTTTATTTTCAGGGTGTTTTATAAGCAATGATTTTTTTTCTAGATTTCAAGGATAAAAATTTCAGTATAGGTTAGTTTATTACCCTTTCAGGGTTTAGGCTGAATTTACCATAGGTGTGATGGGCAATGAGCTATTTTAAAAAATATTACATGTACTACCACAGGCAAAATCTAATTATATGTAGAAATGCAATCTTGCCCCCTTTGGGAGTATGAGTCACAGCTACTAAAGTTACTTGTGGGGAGGACTGGCTTTTGAAAGTTCTCCAAACCCACATACACACGAAGGACAGAGGTAGAGTGGGACCAATAGTCTCAGACCGTTACCTGTTTCTTGAACATATTGATGAAACTGTGAAGCTTGGTTTATTTCCTCAGTGTGCTTTTCAAGATGTGATATCTGTTTTTAAAGGAAATTTAAAAAGAATAATTGTTTTAAAGAAGTCAGTGATTTGAGTAATGAAAATAATCTTCGTTTTACAGTGTTTTTCTTCTGAGAATTTGGTACGCGTTGAGAGATGCTAGCTACTATTTCTATTGTTTGTTTTAATGTGTACTCAAATTATAACAGAACATATGTGAACAGCACCTAACTGCAGGCATTTTTTAGGCTGCTTGTTTCATTTTTAGAAATAGTTCTAACTGGAAAGTAGAGTTAGACTCACTGCTGTATATTTATACTAAGCACATATAGTAAAAGCATATGTTTACAGCAAAGTCAAAAATTCTACAGTGTCCTGGAGATCATTTGAAAATTATTGTGTTCCTAAGCAATTACCATTTCTGTTTTGAAGACATCAGTTCCATATGCTTTAGAAACTTCTTGATCATTCCTTCTCATTTCTTGACTGCTGTGGATTGCTTCCTGAAAATGAGCAATTAGACATATAAACAGTCAGACAATTTATTTTACAATGTCTGAAAAAATGAACTTTTATTAATTTCTGTGACAGATATTTCTGAAAAGAGAAGGGAAGAAGGGGAGGAAGAGGAAGATGATCAGGAGGAGCAGGGGGAGGAGGAAGAGAAGGAGGAACAGGAGGAGGAGCAGGGGGAGTGGGGGGCAGGAGGAGGAGGGAGAGCAGGATGAGCAGGAGGAGCAGGGGGAGCAGGAGGAGCAGGGGGAGCAGGAGGAGCAGGAGGAAAAGGAGGAGCAGGAGGAAAAGGAGGAAAAGGAGGAAAAGGAGGAGCAGGAGCAGTGGCAGCACAGTCTTCCTCCTCATGCTTGGCTGTCAAAACAAGATGCTGTAAATATGGTTATTTAAAATGGCGTAATCTAGTGGTTTTATACTTAAGAGGTTCAGAAATTCTGAACATGTCTCACTGGGTCTCACGGGTGTTACAAGGTATCAACTCCTTTCTTCAGGTCCTATGGGAGATCTCATTCCTTTATCTTTGGAACCTTCTAGAAGCTGTCACTCTCCTTTGCTCATGGCCTCTTCTTTCATCTAGCTGAGGTTCTTTCTCATCACCACCTATCTGATGTCATCTTCAACTTCAAAGGACCTTTGTGACTATGATGGACTGACCCAAATGGACATGGATTTATTTTCTCATCATAAAACCGTGTGACTGGTAGCTTTATTTAATCTTCTATCCTAATTCTAATTTGCAAAATAATTTAACATATTCATATATTCTGAAAGTGAAGATGTAGATATCTTTAGAAGCCATTGTACTATCTACTTCTTCCTGTAAGTAGTTTATTCCAGTGTGTGAATGAGGATGAAACAAAAAATGCAAATTCTTAATGAAAAATAATAGATTTTTTGTTTATTATATATGTTTTCATAGGTCCACAACCTACTATAGTTTTTACATTGATTATCAATTATGATGAGACCCACAGAGTTTAATTAAAATGAAGCCTTTAATTATAACCAGCATAAAAGAGCCACATCATGATAGTATATGCATGTGGATATATTTTTGAAATTTTTATTCTTGCTTCATACATTACATCATGACCTCAGTTTCCCCTCACTCCACGCCTCCAGTCCCTCTCCCCACCTCTCTTCTCCTCAGATCATCTCCTTCTTTTTCCCTTCAAAAAATAAAAAAGCAGGCCTCCCTCCCACAGATATCCACAGAGCATGGCCTAACAAGATACAATAAGACTGGGCACAAATCCTCATATCAGAGCTGGACAAGGCAACCCAGTAGGAGGAAAAGGGTCCCAAGCACAGTCAAAAGAGTCAGAGACACTCCCCCCACCCATTGTTGGTCGTCCCACAAGAACACAAGCTATACAACTGTTAGGTGTTTGTGGAGGACATAACTCAGACCCACACAGGGTCTGTATTTGCATGAGAATATTTTTTATTTTATTTAAGTTAGCATAGAAAGCCCAACTGAATTTAAGCTCCAGATAATCTTGGGAATTCTAACCCTTCCTTTAACATAGAACATGGTTCTGACACAGGTGACTGATTGTCAAAGTGATTACACTCTGCTGAAGAGTTTATATTAGAGTTTTCAGTTTGCTTAGTATTATATGGCACTCCTGAATGTGTGCATGAGTGGGTCTCTGATTCTTGTCCTTTCTCTTGGGTTCTTTTCCTTTTGTTGGTTTGTCTTATGCCACTTCTATTTGATGGTTTTTGTTTGATCTTATTTTATTTTATTTTGTTATGTTTTGTTATCTCTTAGAAGCCTGTTCTTTTCTATGAGAGACATAAGGGCATGGATTCACATGAAAGGGAAGTAGGTAGAATTGGGAGGAGGAGAGGTAGGGGAAACTATAATCAGGATATATTGTAGGAAAAAAATCTGCTTTTAAAAAAAGGGAAAATAATTTAAATAATAAAATAAAAGCTTATGAAACTGATTTAAAGATTTAGACATACCATAAATAAAATAATATGAACTTGGAACAAAATAGAAAATGGGGATATGCACAGCTGGCCTTATAAGAATGCATGTATTGGGAATTATGCAAAGTTGAAATCTCATATTTATATTTATGTCTAAGTGATTAATATTATTTTTGATATTTAATATTTTTAAAATTATTTGCTAATAATAATAATAATCTAGGGCTGGAGAGATGACTCAGATGTTAAGAACTCTGACTGCTCTTCCGGTCCGGGTTCAACTCCCAACACCCATATGGCAGCTCACGACTGTCTGTATTTAACTCCAGTTCCAGGGCGCATGAATCTCAGCAAAACACTAATGCACATTAAAAAAAAGAGTAATCTAGAGAGTATAGGTATATTGCTTTTCTTAAGTGAACAGAAGAATTACGGTATATTTTTACAATGAGTTAAATAATTGTAAAGTGTCAATTTCTAATCTCTTAAAATATAAAATTACTTCATGGCATCTTGTTCTTGATTATACCTTTTGTAAATTACATCATACACATAGGGTGTTACATGTGGCTTCCCATTCCCATAAGGGCACTTGGAGGCAAGGTTAGATATCTGATAAGCTAAGCAACAGGTATTGCTAATTTGAGGTATGTGGGATAATCTGATTCCATCATAGTTTTCCAGGTAGGAGAATTAAGAAAAAGTTGCCCCAGAAATCCACAAAATATAATGGAAAATCTGGGTTTTCTACTTTAAAACATGTGACTTTTTTATTAAAATAAAGCAGATCAGTGAATATGTTTTTCTAAAGAGAAGAGTTTCACATCCCTAGTTAAGGGACTGTGTACTTCAAATGATATTAGGTATATGCTTGTCACATAATTTCCATTAAAGACAAGTTCACATAATGAATGAATCAGAACAGAAAGAAAGAATAAAATAGCAAAATCCTATTAATAGATTAATTTTATTTAAACTCACTTCCCAGGTGTGTTGTAGATACTGAAAGACGGAACAATGAGAAGGAAGAAAAAAATATTTATTCCTTCAAGGAGGAGTATAGAAAATAGGCGATCCATGTTGTTTCTTGTAAATTCAAAGAATCAGAATTCCATGTGATGAGATGCCTTGCATAGTTAGGGTTTACCTAATGGTGTTGGAAGCATTGTGCAGGGCAGAGTGATAAAAGCCACCAAAGACAGCTGGTGGGAAAAACACAGGAAACACAATGGTAACTCTCTCGATTAGCAACAGAGCTTTCCGTCTTTTGAGAAATAGGGAGAGCTTCCTGTAATGTTCTCAAAGCCAACTGGACACTGAAACAGCAAAGAGGACTGAGAACCAGACCCGCACCAAGTCTTAGCTGAGGTGCAGAGTGATCATGTCCATGGAAGCCTGTATGCCAATGCTGGCTTCCTAGCACACTGTATTTGTCTTACATAGTGATTTTTTTTTAAAGTTTTGGATTAGTTCGCACTGCAAAAATTAATGCTTCTTTCTCCATTTGAAAGGTGAATATCTGACACAGCAGTATCTGGCCAACACAACGTAGTGGCTAATCTTAGATGGTGCATGTACTATTAAGCCAATATCCCTATGATTTTCCCGTATTTGTCAAAATGACATTTAAAATATGCTTTTATTCTGGTACCCATAGAAACTATAGCTTTTGGTACCTGTCACCAATTGTTATTCTGAGAGTAAAGTGACAAAATTCTCTGTTGTATAAAAGACAAAGGCAAAATATTTGTGATAAAAACTGGAAATAAATGAATTTTTGACATGACTTAAAATTTATCACTTTCCAGAGAAGAAAATTTATAGTGAACATGTACATATTCAAGAAAAAAACTAGCCAGTAAGCCAGTTCTTATCACCTGCAAGTGCATTTTCTTATAGGAGATGGAACAACATCAGCAATACAAGTGCACATCAATTTTATTTATAGTTGTAGGTTTCAACTTCAGCATTTATGTGCCATTGCTAAGTAGAACTGTAATTGCTACACCAGTTTGATATGTGAGCTTCAGTGCATCAATTTTACTGTCCCCTGGTTGCTGTAACTCACACAAAATCTTTCTTAAAATATTCCAAGATCGTGTTTCTATCATTTATTCTGGTTTCCATATTGCAAGTAATATAATTTGAATTTTAAATTTGGATCTCTCTTTCTAATTTTTTGTTGTCTAGAGTTTAGGATTAGGTTAAAGGAGATAGCATTATAATGCACAAGCAGAACTCAAATTACACAAATAAAATATAATAAAGAATTCAAGTCAGAACACTACACATAAGTTCACATGAAACGATTCATGAAATTGGTTGTTGAAATTAAATCCAACTAGAGACCAGGCTGAATGAAAAAAAAGATGTTGTTTTGTTCTCAGGTAGATTAGCCAATAGCTAAGAATGATGAGTCAATATTAACTTCCCCCTGGACTGGATACATTTTAATCTTCTGCCAAATCACTAAATCATACTTAAATTCAGCCTTTCCATTTCATGTTGCCATTAAAAGGAAGAATAAGAGAAAATATAAATATTTGAACTCTGAAGTCTGAAGGACAGATTTAAGCATTATTAAGGTGTAAGCATGGCCCACACATATTTGATGTCAGCTCATATATTAGCCATGTGTATTATGCACAACCTTTTAGAAAATTTTTCTAGCAAGGAGAATGTCCATGTTCTGCCTGTCCAATCTGTCATTGTGATTATAGGAAAAGGCATTTTTTTTTTTTTTTTTTTTTTTTTTTTGGTTTTTCGAGACAGGGTTTCTGTGTAGCTTTGCGCCTTTCCTGGAACTCACTTGGTAGCCCAGGCTGGCCTCGAACTCACAGAGATCCGCCTGGCTCTGCCTCCCGAGTGCTGGAATTAAAGGCGTGCGCCACCACCGCCAAGCAGGAAAAGGCATTGTTAATTTTCACGGACAACGATTTATATTCATTCTAAGGCTCTCAGAGAAGAAGAATTAAAAAAAAAAAGTCTTTTAAAAAATGCTAACTCACTATTAGTATGAGCTTAGAAATCTCTAGAAGGAAAACAAATGAAGAAAAACTAGCAGAATCATGGCTACCTGTCTCTCAAAGTGAAAAAATAGTTCATGCTAGACATCAGCTGAGACATTTTACCTACAACTAATCTCATTTGTAATGAAAGTAGAAAGGGTTATGGCATGTTAACTTAGCTGCATTTCTGTCAAACAGACATAAACGATACAAAAACATGCCTATTATCCTGTGGATTCAAGATTGATAGGGCAAGCAGCTCTTTCTTTTCAGGTCTGAGTTTAAAAACCTATGGTTGAATCAGGCATTTGTCTTGATTTGCCTATATTCAAGATAAAATGTTTTCCTTTAATGTTTCTTTTTTAAATATTTAAAAAAGTCTGCTAAAAATCATAATATGCAACTGACATATACTTGTTGCGTTAATGGTTCAATATTTTTCATATTTATATATTATTTGAAGGCTTAGTTCAATTTTTTTCTATTTTATGGTATTTATGACTTTTCTTCATATAGTTAGAAATTCTTGCTTCTCTGTTGTTTTTATTCCCGCAACAGTGTGCTCACATCTTTGTTATTAAGCTGTTGTACTTCTCTGCTATTTAACAGGCATAATTAGTAAATGAAGCTACTGAAGTTAATGTATATAATATCAACACGTGAATCAGTTTACAAAGCCTACTCAGAGAAAGGATGCTTGATTCAGTGATCAAAATGTCTATGGGATAATTTGGATAGTGCAGGAGTAAGGTGA